TATAAAAGAATTTCCTTCCATCAGTTTCAAATGTGTTGCCTCTCAGTTTCATTTAATGCTCCCTTGTTCTTGTATTATGAGAAAGGGTAAGTAAGTGCACCCGACTTACGTTTTCTCTACCCTTCATTATTTAATTTAGGATTCAGCAATGTGTCCGAGTATTTCAAATTATTCCTTTCAATATGTATTACCTTGCATTTGTCAACATTGACTTTCATCTGCCATCTGACTTTGAAGTTCCTCACAGACTTCCCTAGTCTTAGCTATCCTAAATAACTGTGTCATCTGTCAATGTTGCAACCTCATCATTCACCCTCTTTTCCAATTCCTAAATAAATCTATTAAATGGTACCTGATCCTAGCACAGGTCATTGGGACACCCCACCATTAACCTTTGCTACATGGAAAATTGATTACATCAAGTATTTAGTTTTGTTTCTGAAAAACCTTGGAGGAGATCAAAACTCTCTCCACTCTCTGAACTGACAGAGGGTACTACAAGGAAAATTTAGAAACCACTGTGACATTACCTCTATTGGAAAGTCAGGCTGTAGAAACTCATATATTCTATACTCCTGGGAGAATTCTGCACCAAAAATTAAAAATTCTGCACACATTTTAAAATTCTGCAAAATTCTGCATATTTTGTCAAAACAACACAATATAATCACGCTCCCATTGTCAGCCCCAGCTACCCGGGCTCAGAGTGGGAGCTCCAGCTGCCAGGAGCTCAGAGTGGGAGCCCCAGCCGCCTATGAAAGGCACTAGCGGATGCACTGGGGAGAATTCACAAATTCTGTGTGAAAAAATAAAATTCTACAGGGAACATTAATTCTGCACAAATTCTGCATTGCATAATGGCGCAGAATTCCAGCAGGAGTAATTCCACCATGATGACTAAACCAGGAGGGAAGCAGGCCCAATGACAACAGAACCTCAGGGTGATTTATAAAACGACAACATGCCTAAGGAGGGGACTTAAAAGTTCTATCCTCTTCTCCCACAGGTATAAGAGGAGGACAATGTCATGCCATGCTGGGCACCCATCCTTCCACATTAGCAGCTGTCTAGCTGGCAATTCTTACTGCATCAGGAGTTCATATTTTAACACAAGAGCACCCCAACCATGTTATAAGAGTTTTTGCCTTGCCTGTGTAGATGGGACCAAACAATGTTACAATCATGTTATCGTTCTGTGCTGCAGCCCAGTAAAGATCAGAGCTATAACATGGAGAGGGTCCTGTTTAGAAAGATTCAGCAAAGCTACCGACCCATTTGGCTGGCCACTCCTGAGAAGTGGCCATTGAAAGGTCATATCCCAACCCGCTGGAAAGAAAACAACAAAAGCAGGAAGTAGAAGATACAGAGAAAAATAAGGGAGACCAAAACAAACTGATCACATTATTTCTTTTAAATTTTACATAAAAACCCTGCACCTGGGATATTTTTCATGTAACATTTATTTTTCCCCGTATCCTTTCTGTACTAATAAGTCATCGAACCAAAGAACAAGGGAAGTAAGTGGGAAATCATTGGTAGGAAACAATAGCGTCTGTCAAGCCATATGGGGCCACAAGCCACAATTTGGGCAGGTATGTCTGACATGGAGAACCTGAAACTGTAAGGTCAACTCTGCTTCTCACTAGGAGCCTACCAATTTCACGACTGTGAAAAACGTGTCATGGACTGTGAAATATGCCCTTCCTCGTGAAATCTGATCTCTCCCTTGCTGCTGGGAGCTCCCCAGCCAGGGGCCTCCTAGCTGCGAGCCCCCACCGGGCTGGGGAGGGTCAGGACTTGTCCTTCACCTGCAGGGGGGCCAGGAGGAGATTAGACTCACCTCTGGATACTTTTTGGGTTGGGACCCAACACCATGAAATTTCAAATGTAAACACCTGAAAATGTGAAACGGATGAATTTTAAAACCCTCTGGCCATGAAATTGATCAAAATGGACTGTGAATTTGGTAGGGCCCTACTTATCACTATAGCCTGCTTTTGCCTGAAAAAAAGCTGAAGCTTAGATGTTACTTTAATTTAGGTTTTTATTGCAGGCCTCACTTTAGGCATCCAAAGAGAGTTGCCCTGTACACAGTAGGCATCAAAAAGACCATTTGCTAAAGTACAATTTACTAGATACTGTACACAATCCCATTTCTGCTGTTCCAAATGTCTCTCTAACAGAACACACTGAATTTAAAAATGGTACTTGGCAACTATCATGTCACGTGACCTGAATGCTGTATTCTCACCAGAGCTTACAAGTTAAAGCAGCGATAGAAGGGCAGTAACTGAATGTGATATCAACAAAGAACAATTACATGTTCATCAGGGTACACTCTTGCCTCCGAGTCAGTAACGAACCAGATATTCTCACATGGTGTTACAGGGAAATGTGCAGCTGACAACAGTGTTTCAGAAGAGATTTTCAATAGAGAGCTCAGGCATTTGTGATAATTAAAGATCTCGTATCACTTTTCACAAGAGGAATCCAATTCAGACTATTAGAGTCAGAGTTCAAGGCCAGAAGGGACCATCAGATCACTAGGTAGACCTGCTGTCCATCGCAGGCTACCTCCGCATCCCCGCACACTAAATCCAACAATCAAAATTTCACCAAAGTATTGCAGCCCACAGGTGACAAGACTGTTATGTGTCCCAGGCAGAGAATAGCAGGACCCAAGTGCGCCAATGCCCAAGGCCTCCACAACAGCAGGGAAATGATTAAGTGAGATATACCCAGATACACCTGAGAAATGACCCCATGCCTCACACTGCACAGGCAAAAAACCACCCAAGTCATTGGCAATTTGAGCTGGGGGGAAATTCCTTCCCTCGCCCCCACATTTGGTGATATGTGTGACCCTCCCCATGTGGGCAAGAACCAGCCAACCAAGTATGGGAGACAGAATGCTCAGTGCCATTTCAGATTCTACCTACTTAAATTCCCAAACGGAGTTTCAATTAGATGCAGTACTGTTTCTGCACATCCTGGCCCAAGTGGCTACATAGCGTTGCTCTACAGTATTAAGCAGATACCATGATGAACCACCCCAGAGAAGGCTGCAGTCAGTAGTGGATGAAGGAATCCATGTGTATTGTTTGCATAAAAATGCATAAAGCACTTTGGGCAGGAATCTCTAAGGAGCCTAGGGAACTCTGGCACCCGACTCCCATTGAATTTGGGTGCTTAACTCCCTTAGGCTCCTTTGAAAAATCTCAGCTGTGAGGATCTTCGCAGATGAAGGGTACTAGATACATGCCTGACTATGTTAAAGTTCATTCATCTGACAGCAGAAAATGATTAACACCACAAAGCAGAAGAACTCAAACCTCCTTGGGCAGACACCCCCTTAGACAGAGCGTGTGTGGAGGGGGCAGGCAGGGCTGGTGGTGGGGATGGGGAAGACACGCCAGAGAAGCCCGAGGATTAACAGTATCTGGCACGGACGCCGTAGTTACCCGCTGGCCACCTCAAAGCACTTCACAAAGCTGTCCCTGCTTTTTACCTGTGGGGAAACTGAGGCACGGAGAGGTTACGCAACGTACCCAAGTCCAGACAGGGCTGAGAGGCTCCAGCCCCTAGACCCGGCTGCCTCCCCTGTAGGGTGACCAGATGTCCTGATTTTATAGGGACAGTCCCAAATATTGGGTTTTTTTCTTATATAGGCTCCTATTACCCCCGATTTTTCACACTTGCTATCTGGTCACCCTACTCCCCTGGCAGGCTGGCACAGTCCCCGGGCGCTCAAGGGCACCCGGCTTTGCCCAGCGGCGGGCCCCTCGCCAGGCCTTCACCGCACGTGGGGCCGGGCCGCTACACCGGCCTCGCCGCCAGGGGGCGCCCCGGGCT